GCTAACTCGCCAGCAGCCATATGGTCAGATGGTCAGAGTCAAAGCCATACTACTGATCAGTACTCATCCTTCAAAGCTTAAGAGGTGGCGGAGGATCAGGTGATGCCTGGCTACAGTGAATGTCTTAACACTAATAAGTTGATTGAGATAAGTACTATTGAAAGGTTACTATATCCAGAAAGAGAGATGTAGGAGCAGCAGTAAAGATAGATGGCGACAGGAAGATATGCGAAACGAAAAGACACCAACGCCTCTTGACAGATATGGTATTATCGTATCACAGCAAGGCCTGGTTCGGATGTAGGTGTTGGCAGAATCGAAAGACAAATTTACTGATAGCACTACTAACAGCACTCCACTAATTCCAGGTCAAGTGGAATTTGGAACCAATAAAACGATCTGCATATTTGCAACCAAAATAAGGGAATATCCATCGGTACTAGGTAATCAGTGCCAGTGAATATTGAGCAAGGATATTGTACACATGTGATCCATCAGTAACCAGACCGTCCCATTAGGAGTCGCTTGCTGCTATTATGATCAATTTAATAACATAGGCTAACATGATCACTCCTTCTACACTAAACGAGTACAATGATCCTATAACGGAAGGTCATCAGTTAGGGGATAACGATTCTAATATCAGTGGCCATTGAATTTATTATAAAAATGACCAGTTCAGAGATGATCAAGACTAGGAAGGAATATAGACACCTGTTATAGTTAATACATTATTATGACAGAAATAGAAGTACAGACACCGGCCAGTATATTAGATTGGATCATACAATCGTGACCGACTAAAATCTTCTGTGAAGAGAGACAGAAAATCATAGAGGTAGAATTATTCAGGAGATATAATGAGTACTCACGTTTAGACAGGTATTTCGTGCAGTAATAACGTTCAAGTGTTGAACAAAAGACAGTCACATGTACTGTCTACTTTGCAGAACACGTATGAGCATAACAACAGACTAATGATACCTGACGAATATATCGTCTGTATATCCTCATTCGCCTCGGAAACTTTAAGGTCTCTTCCAGATATTTGTTGTTGGATAGAGTTGGATGATGGTACATACTTGAATTCATACGTTCCTCACTGGCCTTCCATGTAAAGACGAGAGTCTCTAAATCAGGGAATCTTGATAGCAGCGATTTTAGCTGAGAACGTTGCTAAAGACCTTACTAAAGAACGCTTGAATCTATTGTTGAAGCAGTAATACTAGTAGCCTCGGTCACGTGACCCCTACATACCAAACAACCCCTACTTCTACCCTCGCTGCGCAACCCCTAGATAGGAACACAACACACAAAAACAACTCTCTGCCCTTTCTTTGCTTCCTACGAGTAGACGTTCCAACATCTATCACTGACAACAGGGTCCAGTATCTCTTGTACAGATTCCTATGTTACAAGACGTATGTCGCGTTTTTATTATACGGGCCGGCGACGTGGGTAGGAATGAGTACTGCAGTCACTGAACCGGGGATTGCGGCAAGATATGAGAAGGATAATTAAGCAAGAGAGTCAAATTTAATCTGCACCTAGTTAAAGGTCGCCCTGGCTCCTGATGTTACTAGTTTCGAGACTATCTCTCGACCTGTCTGGTATGGTTCCCTGTTTAGAACATGGAGTTGTCCATGAGCTTGGCTACCTACGCCAGGGCCTACCGAGTGAATGTCTCAATTCAGGCAGCCTCCGCCTTTAGCTTCATGTGAGCCTTCACGTGCTTGATGAGCCTCCGACAGTGAATGAGAATAAAGTATATATACGTGATGACGGAGCCAAGTTGCTAATCTCGATAGTCGGCCCTTGTCTTATGCTGAGCAGCAGAGTTGGATGTGAGAGACCATGGCAGTGTTGTAGCAAACAAACGCAAAATGAATGCGATTTGCAGGCTTGCCCAAAGATGTACGGGTGTAGTGTCAACCCCTGCACGAAGGGTCGTCTTCAATGAGTATTTCTGGATGGCGACGCAAGGCTTATGAGGTTGAAAGCGACTTCCAGTTTCAAATAATAAACCCCCGCTACCGAGGTGGGTGTCAAAGTCTACCCGGCGAGAGTCGTAAGACTGACATTGGGTAAGGTCTGATCTCAGAGTCGCTTCAAGGTACGGTAACTCGCTGATGGGCCTAAAAGGGAGCTGCAGCCTGCGTCTAACCTCGTCTCTTCGAGCGAGTTAATGAGCATGAGGAATCAAATTGATGGGGTATATCAATCTAAAGATAGAACAAAACAATGGATATACTGTCTAGAATCGAGCGGCCGGCGGTTTAGCTTCTTGCGTAGTACATGATGCCGCATTTCCCTGACGACAATAGCACGACGACCTAATTGGAACATCGGCCGTTGCAACTGCTTGTTTCAAGAATGGCTTCACGATCTGAGCTTCAGCCGTTCGCCCCAGCCTGTTCAAGCATTCATAATATCCATGCAGCGCCCATACATTATTCGGGTGCTGCCTCGCACGAGGCAGCGTGTCGTCAAACCCAAGATCGGCCTGGTACACCGCGGCTGCCTCCTGGACATGTCCCTGTTCTAGCAGGAGCGCACCGTACGCATGACGGGTCGGTTGCATCCACCCCCACGGCTCGTCATATGGTAACCCATCATCCAGGGTGATAGATCGCCGTAGATGGGTAAAGGCCACATCATAGTTGCCACGGCGATACTCGAGCTCCCCATCCAGCATAGCGTCAGCCACGGCCAAGATGTCCAGACACTTGTTGGTAAATAACATTCGGCTGCAGGGTACACGCTTCACAGCCTCCTTAAACAGCGCGCTCTGTTGACTCGCTTCCTCTATCCTCCCAAGCGCAGCCAACGCCACTCCCTTTCCGTACTGGATCATTGCAGTGGTGACGCAATATAGCTGCGTGTCATGCGGATATTCAAGGGCAAGGAGATCCTCCCAACGTCCAAAGCGAATCAGGACATGCACCTTCATGCTCACAAAGCCTTCCAGCCAGTCAGCCATAGGCGGGGATTCAATACGCAGGAGCTGCTCTGGAATGGATGACTCCAGACTCTTGACCGTGTCCAACGCAACTTGCGACTGCCCCGCAAACATCGCCGCATATACTCTGAAATGATAATCATGCGATCGATATAATGTATAAAAATTGACTGCGCCCTCACGGGCAAGGAACTTTTCATCTGCTCGAATTGCGTCAGAGTTCGATGCAATCGCCCGTCGATAGTCACCACAGAGAATGTCCAAATGCGATGGCATGTGATTAAGATGGCCTGCATCAGGTACTAACCCCCGCAAATGGTCTGCTACCCTGAGTGCTGCTTCCGGCTCACTGGACATCTCCATTAAGTGGATGTATAGATGCAGGATTCCCGGGTGTCGTAGCGCCTCGTCCTGGGTCAGCGCCAGATCTAAGACTTTCTTGATTTGCACAGTATGCGCATCAGCTGCAGGCTGACCAGTTCGTAAGTCCCAGAGGGCCCATGGAGTTAAGTTCATGAGAGCATCCGCATACAAAGCCACCACATCTAAATCATTGGGAAAGCGTAAGTAAACAGATTCCATGGCGTTAGCGTACTCCTTGTTCCAGCCATTAAAGTCATCGGGCGCCACGTTCTGAGGGTATCGATGTTGCAGGGCTGCGATAAGCGCTGCTTCCACGGATTGGGTGGTTGTGGCGTGCGTCTGGGCCTCTGCGACAGCTTCGTGGGTACGCTGCACGGCGACCTCGAGTTCTTGCTCGTCGAAGGACTGCCAAGTTTTGTTGTAGTTGGGACCCAAGGTGTATGCAAGGCCCCAGTATGCCATCGCACAGGCCGAGTCATGTGTGATGGCTTTTTGGAAACAGTTGGCCGCTGCTTCGTGATTGAAGGCGTATGTCCAGATGAGACCGCGGTCGAACCAGAGTTGAGCCTGAGGGCTGGAGGTGGTCACCGGTCGGCGGAAGGAACCGAAGTCGTAATAATCATCTGGTTCCTGGGCAGACATGATTGAGGAGCTCTGAAATTATTACAGCAAAGGAGAGCTAAATAGAGATACGTAGGTGGCTTGCCGATGCTGTTCCTGAAGTTGAGGGGGGATGATCCCGTAGCAATACCAATAGTAGATGGTGAGTAGTAGTAGATAGTTGATAGTGAGGATGTCCCCGCTATCGAACCATGGTTCCCAGGCTGCAGGGAATAACAATAGTCCGAGAACGGTCACATAACTACACCAGGTTCGTTCCAACCGTCACAACCTGTTAGTCTACATGGTAGATTCCATCATTGACTGATGATCTGGGAAAAGGATGGTTCAACTTACAAAAATTCGTAGCCTTTGTATTTTACGGCCCAGTTTTTGATACAAGTACACTGCCAGGGTTGTATAGAGACTATCGAGACAGCATTAATCGCCATATAATAATACAGCAGCATGAACAGAAACAGTATTCGGTGAAGTCGAGTAATTCGATACTTTCGACTGCTGAATGACGGGCGCGAAGCGTGCTTTTATTTACTTTCCTGAAACATCAGGGCCAAGTACCCAGGACGAAGACTGATAGCTTGTAGGCAACTGGCTGTGTGCCGGTGGCAAGGAGTAAAGGTAGAAACTGGCTGTTGTTACACGCATTTACATTCTATATCTTTCTCTAGTGTTGTGTTTGGGTATGTTATCAACTTCGTATATGTACATAAAGGTTTGTATTCTGTCTGCTCAGTGATCCAATCGTCTTTAGCATCATAGTGTTGCTTCAGGTGGCCAAGTAAACCCTGCATGAACAGCATCTTATATAGCAAGAAGAATCGATCAGGTCAAAGAGTTTGGTCTGAACCGAGATTCTTTCGAGCCATTTATGCCTCTTTTTCTCCTCGGTTGGAACACCGGTAAGGTACGGACTGCAGAGCAGACCCTTAACTGCTATATATCACGAGATTTCTGGCGTGGCCCGCAAGCTGCCGAAATGGAAGGACGAGACAAAACAGACAAACGGACAAGTTCCTACCCAAGTCTAAAAAGCAAAACTATGCCACCATAACCAAAATACTTTTCAGCGCTGCGAGCGCTGTGACCGCATGGTCGACTGGCGACGGATAATGTCGCCATGGTTCCATGTCTGGCTTGCGCGGTCCTTCGGGTCGAGACTGGTAGAAGCCCCGTGCTCCGGTCGACCCTGGGATTGCTGGCGGTCCATAGACATCTGACTAAGACTAGAGGTGCGACGGCGCATGCGCCGTTCTGCGTCTGCGATCTCATTCTGATTCAAGGATTCCGAAGGGAGCAGAATGGCGCGGTCCAAGGCATAGGGCAGGCCGCGATGACGGCCTCGGATTTGCATCGCAATTATGACCAGCTTGGAGAGAACCTGAAACTGGCTGGAGAAGGATGCATTGACTCCGGGATACCCGAGCGAAAGACCAACGGTGCCATACGCTGAGACAACTTCGAACAGCACGGACCACACTTGGAAGGAATACTCATCTTGCTGCTGGAGCCGCTTGCCTTCCACAATAGTAATGATGAACAGGCCCAGGAACACATACCACAGATCAAAACTGAGCTGTTTGCGCAAATGCGCTCCGATATAGCTGGGCGCTGTCTGGTTCTCATCCGACTCATCATCCTCGGTAGAAGCGTAGATGCCTAGACTCTTCTCCTCGTAGACGTTGGTGCGCCGTAAGGAGATGGCAATGGGGAACACGGATATATACATCATGATCAAGTAGGAGACCTGCACAGCCGGGTGTAGGTCTGATACAGAGATAACAGCCAATCCGGCGGTTCGAGTACAGGCGGCCTGGAACAGACCGTCCACGATACGGATGCCAGTGGGCAGGGATGTGACGACCGAGTCATTCAAGTCCAGAATAATGAAAAATATCAAGTCAATACCATTCAAGGCCACCAGAATCGCAAAGAGCCACCACGTGGCATTCCTCGGAAAGAGTAGAGTGAAGCATCGACGTGGATGATCAAGCAGAAAGCGGAGTTCCTCCCATAGCGGGGTTTCGGCACGAGTCACTTTGGACAGAGCCCAAATAATCAGGCGCAGCATGCAAGGGAACCCTGTATTCCCGATAATGATCAAAAAAGTCATGAGCAGGAGCGGGAATATCGCTTTCTGGAATGATGATAGTGAGTCTGGCGTGAGAGTAAAGCCGACGTCGTTGAAAGCCGATTGAGCCATGAAAATGGCCCACCAAGGGCGACCCTGTCCGATTTCCTCGACCACCTTGCCCCAGTGTGTGGTCATAATCCAAGGCACGAGGCACAGGATGCCAAGAATGTGGAAGAAGGCATAGTAGGAGATTAGTACTACTGCCAGAGTCTTCAATGCCCGATACTCGATCCCGCCGAGCTCGTCACGTTGTTCCTCAGTTAGGTCGACAAAGTTTGAATTCCGACCAACCGTGGCATTCCAGCTGAGATACGGCTGTGTTGACCGTTCACGTTCCTGCGTAAGAGTGCGGAAAAGGTTGTGTAAGGTTGGTCGTCGCGATGTCAAGCGACCCAGTTGCGAGGCATCGCTATCATTCTTTGTTTCACGGAAAGTGGGACGTGTATCTAATCGGGGGAAAGTAGAGTTCCGCGTCCTCGTTCGAATCATATCTGGCTCGTTAATCGTGATATGGGGCCCATCAAGTCTGCGCGGCCTATCCTCGTCCTTATCCTCGTCCTCGTCGTCCTCATCCTTGCCATTCTCGTCTTCTTTGCTCATATCACATGGGCTGCGCTCGGAACTCGAGGAGTTGCTAGACGTGCGAACAGGTCGATTTGTCTCCTCCTCTTCCTCCAATACCTGGGGTGCGCCACCGTTGTCATACTCCCGAGGGCTAGGTATCCGCAGCGCGCCTTTGTTCCTCCGTTGATTCTCCAGGAATGCGATGTGATGTTCTGGGCTCAGCTGTGCCGGAACACGAAGGTTTCCTAGACTATTTCCTAGTCCAATTGCTAACTTTTGATTGAGGGCATTGTTCGCATCTTCGCCCAATTTTTCGGGTGGATCCCGCGCGGTGGGAGAGGCGGGAGGTGAGTCCTCGCCGGATTTCTCCTTGACCTGCTGTCGGCTCCCCGGCTGACCTAGTGTGTCGCGCAGGACGACGATGGACCGACCAGCGACCCCAGCCTCTTCCCGGGAAGAAGACTGACCATCCTTATCTTCGCTTATAGTACGGAGGCGGGAGCGAGTATGGCGAAGGGCGCGCGCATCGCTAACGACATGCTGAAACCGCTTTTCGAACCAGTAGAGACGCACAAAGACCAGCACAGTGTGGATAAAGATGGGAGTGGTCAGCATGGAGACCACATACAAAACGATCTGCTGGTAGGTATGCAAGGTGTTAAGGTCGACGGTGTTGAGACCGCTCTGGGTGGCGGCGCCGGCCGATAGGAAGAGGGCATCGGTGTAAGCTAGATTAGCCCCTGGATAGATGATGACTGAGGAAAGCAAAGCGGTGGCGATGATATAGACATAGTGGATGAGAACAAAATTCATGCGCAGATTCTTTAGCCATGGAATGTGGGAGGTGAAGCGTGAAGTGACCGAGGTCGCCCGCCGCAGCACGGCGGAAAACATCCTGCGGTTTCACCCGCACCGACTGGGACACTTTGGATTTGCAGGGAGGAAAACTGTATCGGTAGGAGAATAACGGATAGGAGGTTCGAAGAACGAAGGGGCTGCCGAATGAAGACGGCTGGTTGCCGATCAATATGTACTAGGCGGAAGGAAAAGAAGACGCAGACCAGGCCAAAGTCGCTGCAGGTCAGAGACCCACAATCGCAACAGCACTTTGAGCTGGGGAAACGAGGATCAACATGATTTGAGGAGAGTTATGTTGGAAGGAAAGAGAGGATGCTGGAGGCCGGGCGCAGATAAGGGGACACAGAAAGGTCGTGGAGAAGAAAGAGAGGACGGGAAGCCCCGAGATGCAAGAAGACAAGACAGGCGAAACCAGCGGCGGAGGGGGGGAATGACGACTCGGTTGGATGAGATGGTCTTGAGGGAGGTGGTGATAAAGTGGCCAGCTTTGAAACCGAGATTGCTAGAACTCCACTATGTCGGTGAGCACCCACTTGATTTATGGTGGTTGCTGGGGGGGGGGGGGAAATAAAAATTCGATTGGAAGCTTGACAGTTCGACAAAGGAGGCCGGATTGGCGCAGCAAAGAAAAGAGAAAAAAAATATCAGCAGAAGAACCGGAGGGTAAAAAGGCGCTATGCCGATCGGTCGAGCGCGGAATTAAGAGACATGCTGTCCACGGACAATTTCATTGGAGCCTAATCAGCATCTCTGGACTCTATCTCGCAGGTTTTAACGTTGAGACTAGTCCCGAGTAGCACACGGCTTGTCTTGACTTTTGTGACGGGGGGAAAAAGGAAACGCGGGTTAGTTCTGGACCAGCGATCACGTGAAGGTCTGCCAATTCTCTGCGGCCGGCCATTGATCGATCGATCGATCAATCTACAATCTACTCTCTACTATCTACTACCTGTCTATTTGGATACAGCAAATGGAATTTAAATAAGCAATATCCCTCCGTGTAATCTACACAACTTTGTTTACTTAATGTACACAGGTCTTTATTCTCCTAAAATCTACCGTACATTGACGGCAGGGGACGCAGATCCCATCATTTTCCGTGACATCTCCGGGCCCCTTTGGCAACTATCTATTTCTAGAAGGACGTCCGAAAACGGCGCGTGCCGCTGGCTAAGTTATGTTGCCTGGTTCCGCAACGCCAAAAATTGACCCTACGCATCACGGAACCCAGGCCCAATACAGGTCACCCGCAAATATCCGCTACCGTTTCCGATCCAGTACATCTTCTACAATGTGAGCATTGATGATTCGATGAGGGATCCATCAAATGACACAGATAAAATCGGAGATGTCGGGCTTGGCAAGAGGCCAGGTTCAAATGTTGCTCGGTCCGAGTGTTGCTAGCTGGCTTTTCTGCTGGTGTCGCGGTATGCTTGCTGGTGTGATGGTAGGCTAAGAAATCGCAACTTGCGGATCGGATCGCCTCTTGAAGCGGAGGGAAGCGGTTTCAAAGTGAGTTCTTTCGTTGTTCACTTCCCCCGGGCAAGGCTTCTGTCCACAATCACCGCCGTTGTCTTTTAAGGCTTCCAATGCCCTTGTGCCCCGAAGACTGCTCCTTTCCAGACGAATGTACTGAACGAATACTACCGGTGTCATTATCAGAAATTGATTTCTCTGCTTCTGACTCGGAATTTGATTCTTCTGATCCGGAGATGGAAGTATCCGGGTCGGGCCTATCGCTGTCTTCCTGAGAATGAACTGGATTGTTCAGTTTCTTCGGTGCAGTTTCAAGCGACCTTAAAGACGAACTGTCATCAGTCTTGGACGTTGATCGATCCATACTGGAGATTTTGTCGGTCTCGGTTCCTTCTTCCCCTGATTCGTCATCGGAATCAACATATTCGGAACTTTTGAAGTGCTTGTTTGATTGGCTCTGAGAAGGCGTGATTGATTTCGATTTACCTCGACGCTTGGGTGGTTTTGCCTCCACAACAGGGTCGTAGAAAGCATCCGGATTCCCCATGCTACGCCGAGTCAAGACCTTGCGCCTAATCTTGCGAAATTTGTCTCCACACTGCTGCCTGGAACGGCAGTTTTCCATGCGGTTGCTGATTTCTCCCCAAGAAATCTTAGATTCATCTATCTCATAGATATCGCGGCCAACTTCGTGGCCCAGGTTCTTCATATGGGTCCACCAGTCCTGTAGATACTGTAGTAGTGCACCTACTTCCCATTCAGACCAGGGCCCTCGGTTCATCGTCTGACGATGTTCGAGGTGATTTCTCCACCGCTGTATCACGTCGTCATCGCTTCTACCAATCATTTTGGCGATGTGAGCCCACCTGGGCCCATGGCGCTCATGAAGCAAGATAAGTTCGTCATCTTGCTCGGCAGTCCAATAATGTGGCTTCTGGTTTGTGCATTGGAAATGTCGTCTCATGAACCGATAAACCGATCTCTTATCGCGATGTGGGATAATTTCATAGATGTTTTTCCAGAAAGCCACTTTTGTGGTAATATCCGTGGGACAAGGGAAGGGATTCGACTTGTCCCTTTCTGAATGCTGAATCATGAGGTCAAAGGTGTCGCTTGCCATGCCGTGGGTGGTGCAAAAATCTAGCTTGAAGGATTCCAGAGCTTTAACTTCTTCTGGCGTGAAGAAACCAGTTGATTTATTTTCTTTCCCTTTGCTGGCATCCGAACCGCGTTTGCCCTTTTTGAAATCCACCAGGCCTTTGAAATTCTCGGAAGGTTGTTTTGATGCTGTGTTCAACTTTGCTTCCGATTCCTCCTGGGCAGATCCTTTCTCTTGGTCCTTGCTTCCTGGGTCTGGGGCGATCAAATCTTCTGTTCCTGGGGAAGGTGAAGTTGAAGGTACATCCTGCGTGAGTACGTCGGGCTTGTGCGTGGCCTTGTCTGCTTTGCCGTTTTGTGTCTGACTTCCTTTGGACTCGCGGACCTTCTTGCGCTTTGACGGACGATCAGTGGATGTATTATGCCGCGATGATAGAGACGTTTTCGGTGAAGCTGGCGATATATTACGGTCTCCAGTGGTGTTATCCAGAGCTCTCCTCTTCCGTCCAGAGGTTGTATTGTTGGTTTGTAGCTTCTGCTTGGCGCCATTTAAAGGTGTTATAGGGGTCGAAGGTATTTCCAATTCCGATCGATTCTCTTCTTCGGAATCTTCGGGGGCATTCTTACGCCCTGGGGAAGTATATTGCGAAGAGGAGTCGCCCATGTCGAGTGAAATAAAAGAAACCAGTCTCCCAGTGAAAACTGAAGACCTGACAAAGAGCTGTGGAGACAGCAGAAATTATCTGAAGGGAGTGAATGGGGAACAATCTGTCAGACAAAAAAAATTCAGAAAAAGTCGCCGAAAAAAGCTTTGGAGCGGCGCGAGCGGCGCGGCGCGGCGCGACTTTTGGCGGTGCCGTTCAAGCTTTCTTTAGCGGAGAGACATTCCATCCATTCCCTGGTAAGGGCGGTCAAGGTTGATAGTTCTAAGCTCCTGTCAGACGTCGCATCCTCTGCCTTGCTTCTGCGATTGTGCAGCCGGCACTTTTTTTTCCTGGGGGAAGAAGGCCACCAAGGAGTCTTTCGCGAACAGAAAGAAGTGGTCACTTAGGGAGAGAATCGCTACTGCCACCCAGTCGAACCTCGGTCTGACTAAATTGCTTTTTGCTTTTTTCTTGATGGGGTTTCCCTGTTAAGGGCGGTCAGAATGGCGGGTGCAAAAGACGGGCAGAAAGATGCCGGGATGTACCCCCGTTTATCCTAGAGTAGCTAGATTGTGAGTAAATGAGTATATACTAGGGCAATTGATTTGGATATTAGCAGTGACACCATCCGAGAAAGAGCACAGACGCTGATAATGCCTATAATCAGAGGAGCTGTCATTTTTTCAGCTCCCACCAGGCTATCTTGCAAGCCATCAGCACGGTGCAGTTCACCCATCAATCCTGCAGTCTGCTTCTTTCATTCCCAAGCCACCTGAATAGTAACAGTGATGTGCAGATTGGGTTTTCATATCCCGGGCTAGGTGGGCAATGTCCACTCCTACTATATGCTGCTTTCTTGCCAGGGAGCTGTTCAGGCTCGTTTCTATCCGCTCTCGTGCGCTTTACTGCGGTGTCAATGATATCATTATAAGTCAGTCACGTCAGCAAAGTACTATAAGATTGTATACGACCCAAGCAGGAGGTATTACGCAGAGCCCTGGAGAAGTGAAGCAGCAAAGTCGGTCATACACGGCAGAATGTGTAAATAGATAACAATCATGGAAGATAATAACAACAAAAATATCCCAGAAAATAAACAATACACAGGTAACATGTTATATAATCAAATCTGATAAGCAACCGCCGAATTCAACGAATCAATCATCCGCGATGGCTAGCACAGCATGAGCAAATGTACACAGCTTATGCTAATAATGCTATTGACAAGTCAAGATCAAGATGAAGAGGATTAAGTTTAATGCATGATTTGCTGATAGCTGATTAGGAGATCACTTCTCATAAACCACTTGTACCGAGTTCCAGATCGGATTCTCAAGTCCTGTGTGATAGTGATAGTGTTTGATGAATGCGACTGTGTCACCAGTCTAGGTACCTTCCATCCAGTCATTTTCCAACTACCTCACAATTCCTAAAGGGTTGTGAGGTGATGTCGAGTGTACTTCCTTTCAAGAAAAGAATTTTCGGGACCTTTCTCCCTCTAAATTATACCCCAGTGATCAAATGAGACCGACGTATTGGGACGTCTTTATCCAAACGATACAAGCTCAACATGTACCATGATTCCACCCTTTCGTCCTTGATTTAACTAGAATGAATCAATTCAAGAGGGCTATGTATTTTGACTTTTCTCTGGATTCATTTGATTGTACCCTTCTCAAGACTCAGGATCTCCCAATCTTTATTCCCTTCACCCATACTTACTTGCTGCTATAGCTATATTGTTGACTGGAAAGCACATGTTCGAGAGTCCTATCCATGGGACGATGCCGAGTATTGTTGGAGGGACCTCCTAGGGTTGGATTGATTATAAAGGAGACTTTCTGGGTGTGTTTATCCTTGCTCACACTCTCATTCTCGAGCCATGGCCTCATATGCATTTTGTCACTAGATTGCCTCTTAGGTATATAGTTTTACCATGGAATTTTACGTGGCCTAGAAAGCGAATTTCAATGCTAATGTGAACAGCGGAAAGCCAAGGTACTCCTGTCTGGTAAGTTCGATGTTGTCGGAGGTTAGGTCATTCTTCTAAGGGTGGCTTGCCTCATGTTAATCCCGAAACTCATGATCGTACATTTAGTAGTGGTCTAGTAGTGGTAGTAGTACTATCCTGGATGAGCTTCCAGACAAAGTGACCTAAGCAAGAGGTTTAATGATACTAGCAGTGCATATCATACTTTAATTTCAATTATATATATAATTAAATTTAGTCTTTATCCTATGGATAAGCATGTATGATTCAAACCACTACCCTTTGTATTCAGTTCGGGATATATAGTATCTCATAGTATGTATAATCACTATATAGTTGCTGTACTATATCACAATCATCTTGGACTTCGGGATCAGCGAACTTTTCTGGAACAGTGAGGGACTCTACCTGTCTACCTACTATATACTAGGCATTTGGATTTCCTTCCAGGAATACATGTTGGAAGAAGGAATCACAATATCCCTATGTAACCAGAGCATCTAAAGTACAATTAAGGATGATATACCTCCAACATGCACACACACACTCTCGGAGCACGTACAACAGTCCAGGATGTCGCAAGGTAAGAGCCTCATTACCTATTGAAACCTTGCTCAGGTAGGGGTAAACAGGATTAACCTGAAAGTTGCATAATTCGAAGGTGCAGCAAACTGCGGATTGTCGGGCGCTGCTGGGCCAGAAGATAATACAGCTGCCAGCTGGCATATGCTGCCAAGAGGACCGTTCGCAGCAAGTTTCAGAGAAGGTGGGTCAATCAAGAAGGGGCCAGCCGTACGGCTGTGGGTACACATCCTTTTTGACTAACTCTCATGCACCTGAGTACTTCCGCTTTGTGCGGTTACGTAGGTATTAGCTATATAAGCATCTTCACTTGGAGATCCGACGGGAAGGCTAGATCGAAGGCGGATTCTACCTAGGCCAGAACCACTTTGACCTATATGCTATTCAGGGAGACGCTGCCTAGAGGCCCCAAGTACGCCCCATCTGGGTTACCCGGGAAGGAAACCTTAAGCCTACCAGGGAACTTGCACTTAAGGAGCAGGAAGGAACTAGGAACAGAAATAGACAATAGTAGTTTATAGGTAACTGGTGAGCCAACTGCGACGCCGGTCCGACGCCAACTTCAATTTCTTCGTATTCAGCCGAGGTATAGACGGTTTGTATATATGCGACACTGCATTACTTAGTGTGTCGTAAACTTTGCGCCATATCAACGGGCACAGCGTTCTGAGCCATTTCCTTGCTTCAGACAGTGAAGCACCTGCACAGCTAGCACCTTGTATACCGAGCCCGATCAGGCCAAGATAGAAGTTGTATTTCATTAAAGATCGATACCATTGCGCAAGCAGTCTTCAGCATTTCCTTCTGGGTAGCCATACAAACGATGCCAGCGGCCGCACTAACAGTTAGTACGTCGCACTTCGTGCGAGGCGACACAAGGTCGACAATGGGGAAGAAGAGAGCCTCGGTCTTCAGGGTGGCATGAGCCTATCGCCGCCGAGCGGGCATAGGAGGGTACCCTGTGAGATTTCTCAGGTCGGTGTCGCTTGCCATCACGGCAGCTCGCTGCTGGGCTAAGAGGAAGCTGGAGCCCACAATTCAGCTCCTCTCTGCGAGCGAGTTAGGAAGGCATGAAATCGTTTTGCTTTCAACGGGCAAACTCAGACAAGGAATCAATAGAACGATATCAGGTTCCTTGGTAATTGTCGCATGCCGTGTTGTATATATGGGACGAGAGTTTGAGTCAAGTATCGCCGATTCGCCTTACTGAGGCGCACTGTGGTAGCGACATTGGTGGTGTACGTATTGACTGGGATAGCGCTTGCTGGATGTTGAGTTGACTCAATCACTTGCCTCTCATTGGCCTTGAGTAGCTATAGGTTAGGGAGCTGCCAGCGCCCGCATTTCGGTTCGTCACCAGCGGAGGCAATGAAATTGAGAGTGGAATCCTGACAACCCATGTCACCGTTTCAGATCAGCCCATCAACCCGCCCAAAACCACGCGACCAACGCTGTTGAGTTCGCTCTTGGCCTGGTGACGGCTGGCATCCTCAAATTCGCGTATGATCCCCGCCACCATAATCTTCCTTATCTTGGCATCCGCCTTGGAAAACATTTCCCCCAGTGCGACAGTACATACTGAAGGTGTGAAGACTAGCGACACCAATCGCGTGTAACAGTCAATGAGAATATCACACAAGGTAACGAATGTTTCGAAATAGTCCGGTTCAAATGGCAATAATGGCGTCAGAAGATATGTGTATTCCTCACCGGGGAGGAGCTCCGAGGCCTCCGTATGCGGAAACGAGACGGTCGCTGCCGCCGCGCTGGCTGAGTTACTCGCCATTGACTTCAAATCTGACGGGTCACTGGATTGTATCGGTAGGCCGATTTCTGTAGCCGAGCTGGTGCGGCGCGCTTTCGTGCCGGCGTGAGCGGCGCGCTTGAACATCTGAGGGATACGGGCGCGAGTGAGGGTGGAGGAGGAGGTGCCGTCGGGAGGATGCACTTGCTGAAAAGCCTCGAACTCAATTAAGAGGGTGCTGAGTGCGCGAAGGAATTCCACGGGTGTCGTGCTGACATCGAGAATCGGAGGCAGGGAGAGGCCCAAAAGAAGGTAATTGATGGCGCGACGGGCGAGTTTACGGGGCTCAAAGTATGGCAGTCGACTGATATCGGTCCGGGAAAAGTGAACTGTATTGAACCAATAGATGCGGCCTTCGTGCGCTTTCCGCAGATAACCCAGTGTAGAGATCCGCTTAGCAGCCATATCGTGGATGTGCTGATAGATTGCTGCTGCGCTTTGAGGCCCAAGTGATCCGCTACCGCTCGTTAACGGGGGTGGCATGGACCCCACCGATGGATCATGACTGATGCTGGATTTGGTGTCCCGGCGCGAAAGACTGGGGGCAAAAGTCGAGGAAATCATATTGGACATGGCTATGTAGTTGGAGAAGGTTGCCTACCCCGGCATAAACGTGGATTCCGTACTCCGTAGGCAATGAGGAGACACGATTAAAAGGGGCTGGCTCAAGAAAGCGTACTAGTAGGAAGATCCGCGGGATCGGGAAGGAGATGGAATCTCCGTGCCACGTGACCGTGATTACTGCCAGCAGAGACGGAGCTGGCGAGCCTGTAACGTCTGGGGAAAGTATTATGATGGGCTAATGAATAAGGATATCATAAGCAGTCGTTTCAGTCGCATGGATTGCTGGTACGACTAGCAGTCGGCGTGCAAAATGTAATAGACGGGCTGATTGGAAATTAGCCCCATCCAAAACATGCTATAGATCAGTAGGTTTGACTAGTTCGTAGCTGGATTATTTATTAAAATGGGCACACCTAAAATATCCACTAAGCATGTTAGCTCAGGGGAAGAGCGCCGGGCTCATAACCCGGAGGTCCCTGGATCGAAACCAGGACATGCTATCTGTTTTCTTTTTTTTCTCTTTGCTGTCGTAGCTGATCGCTTCTTTTGGTTCATTCAAAACATGCTGGCATAGGCTGTTCACGCTTCTTAATAACTCGTTATCTATTCTTATTACGGAGTACAACCAAGATAATCCCGAGTCGCCGTGTTGCTGTCCAGGAGATTCCCCCGGGCCGTCCCAAGAACAACTGATGCTTTTCAGCCGCGATAGATTTGATTTTCATAGTTGCCATGGTGGTGGATACTGACGAATTGAGTCTATACGTACCGGTAGCATAATTTTATTTACATACCAGTATCCTTGAGTAGGTTACTCGAGGGAATGATACACATATTATGTGGCAGGTGCCATCTATATCTTGAATAGGACTAGCGTAGGGGTCTACGTGGCTATACCTTAACAGGTTAGTCGCTGACTATCACCCCGGCTGGCCACTGACATGTGACCGACCGCCTTCCCAAAGGGATTGGCTCCGAGCTGAATGAATGAATAGGAAGGATATCTTCCGGTACTTGACCACCTTCTTTCCCCTCCTTACGAATTAATGGCCCCTTGAGATGACCTAGTATCAGGTCTTCTCTGTGGTGAGCCCCAATACTTTCTTGCGGCTTTGTGTTTCAATATGCTTCTGCGCTCGGCCACTTCTTATTTGATTAGAACTGGCCAGGGGTATCAACTATTCCTAGCATGACACGCCGACTTGTATGTCCCTTCTCTTCTGATCATGGAGTGCTCCTATCAGAAGATTTAGAACTAATTGGATATCTCCATAGGTTCGAGCGGGCGTGCAGCTCGCGATTTTCGCATCTTTCATCGCTCTTCTCGTCGTGACCTTGGACAACAGGTTCCGTGTCCTTCCTGCCTCCATCCACGGCCATCTTCCATCCCACTATGCTGGCTTCGCCATCACCGATGTCACCGTTGTGTCTTGTTCTTCCATCAACGTTTTCTCAAACTGTCAACCGAACCAGGAGTCCTGGTCCCAGGTCGAGAAAGACCTCTACCTCCGCACCGGCTGGACCTCAAGCGCATTTGTTCGATTTGAGCGAAAGAAAGAGGAAGAACTGCTTCCTACAGACAAGGTTGTTATTGATCTTAAGATTAGCCGACTTGTTCCCGAGTATTCGGAGGACCCTGAGGCCCAGGCAGAGACATGGGAGCAAAGACCCGGTGGTATCTGGCTCAAGCGAACCGCTAAGCGCCACGCGAGTGACTCTGGAAAAGCAATCACCGCTATCGATGTCCTCTTCGGTGCCGATGCAGTCGATCCGCGAATTGGCTGGGAAGTCAGGGATACTCCATTGCTACTGGATAGCCGTACGGAGGAACTGGAAACTCGAATCAGCGTCCGTCGGGGAGATCCTCCCAAAACGAAGAAACCAGTGCCCAGGATAAACGAGAATGGGCGCTTCAAGATCATGCAGCTGGCTGACTTGCATCTGAGCACCGGCCTAGGGGCTTGCCGTGAACCTGTCCCGGCTGAACCCGTTCCAGGGCAGAAGTGTGAAGCCGATCCTCGGACGCTAGAGTTCGTGGAAAGGCTTCTAGACGAAGAGCAGCCTGATTTTGTTGTATTAAGTGGCGACCAGGTTAATGGTGAGACGTCGAGGGATGCTCAGAGTGCTCTTTTCAAGTCCGTTAAACTCCTTGTTGATCGCAAGATACCCTACGCGGCCATTTTCGGCAACCATGATGATGAGGGTAACCTGAAGCGACCGGAGCTTATGACTATCTTGGAGGATTTGCCGTACTCTTTATCTACTGCAGGCCCCGAGGAAATCGACGGAGTCGGAAACTATTATGTCGAGATTCTTGGCCGCGGAAGCACCACCCACTCCGCGCTAACCCTTTACCTTTTGGACTCACACTCGTACTCTCCTGATGAGCGGAACTATCGCGGGTATGACTGGATCAAGCCGAGTCAGATTCGGTGGTTTAAGAACACGGCCCAAGGGCTGAAGACCAAGCACCATGAATACACCCACATGCACATGAACATGGCTTTCATTCACATTCCATTGCCGGAGTATCGTGATCCCAATAACTACTATTGGGGTAACTGGACAGAAGCTCCAACAGCGCCGGGCTTTAACTCGGGCTTCAAGGATGCCCTCGAGGAAGAGGGTATCCTGTTTGTGAGCTGCGGACAGTAAGCGATGTCTTTCCCACCCATCCATGACTCTTTGCTAACCCGCTTCAGTGACCATGTCAATGACTACTGCATGCTCAATCGAGATAACGAGGAAAAGCCGTCCCTGTGGATGTGCTATGGAGGAGGTGCTGGTTTCGGCGGGTACGGAGGATACGGGGGTTATGTGCGCCGCGTGCGGTTCTATGATTTTGACATGAACCCTGGCCGTGTGGTGACATACAAGCGGCTGGAGTATGGCGAGACGGAAGCCAAAATTGATGAGATGATGATTATCGACGGTGGCATTGTCAAAGGGCCCGAACAAGAAAAGTGAATTGGAGATTGATGCCTTTCCAAGGCGCCAATTGGTATTAATTCTCCTTTCTTTTTGAGCTGGGTCTCGCGAGACGCATCTGGCGCTGCTTTTCGGACGATATCATCTATTCGAGGCTCTTACATCTATTACTGGGGAGGCGTTCGTTCCTATTTGAGACTTAACCGGCGGGCATTCATCTTCTTTTCCTTGTATCATATTAGTATTCGATTCAAGCATCTTCAGGATGCGTGGGCCGCGATAGCAGGCAATTTCTCGAGAAAATTGATTATTTTTATCTTCTTTTCCTTCCTTCCTGCTCTATCACCACCACTTTTCATAATAGACGCGCTCCGTGTCCCCGAGAAAGCCCTCAAGGCTGCTCACCACATCATCAGTCATCCCAGGCGGACCACACACATAACACACCGTCTCTTCCGCCTCTATACTACCATCAGCTCTACTGACCGCCTTGCGTAAGTCATCCCGATTGATCCTCCGCGTGTGCAGGTTCAGATCCCCAGATTCCGCAAATTCAGTAAGAGAACTTCGATCCAAACCAGGATCGGTGATGAAAAGATCTAAACTAATCTGCAATCGACGAATCTGTGACTGCGACGCAATGATCTGTCGTAGACGTGAAAGAAACAAGATCTGCTGCAGACTACTTGTGCCATTCCCGGTTACTGTTCCTTCTTCTTTCCGTGGAAGTTTCGTTGAGTACAGAAATCGAATATTGAATGATGGGTGAGGAAGAGATATCTCGTCGCCATTGTTAAGATGCGAGAGCATGGATATCAGTGGGCTATGATTGTGTTAGTATCTGGTTATGAACCATCTTTTCTGCTTGGTGGGTCGACATAAAACACTCACTTGATTCCTACTCCGCCTGCCACGAAGACTACATTTCGAACTTTCGTCAAGTCCACGCGGGAAGATGGTGGCCATACAAAACTCCCTCCGACGCGGATACTAAGTTCCGTGCCTAGGATCTGATCCGCCGGTCGCCAGAGCCATACGCTGGCTGGGTTGGAGGGCGCATATTGCACGGCTAACTCTACGTAGGGTGGCCGACCGCGCGGGTCGATGGGGGGAACGTCGGTTTCATCAGTGGTGATTGCCTCGGCGGGGAATTCTAGGGATGGGAGGACTTGTGCGTCGGCTGGAGTGGAGGTAATACTGAAGCCGCCTGCGTTTGGGATGGAGGGAATATGGACGTCCAGCCATTGACCCGGGAGGAATGTTAGGGGTTGTTGGGGGTTGGCTAACTGTTGGGTGTCAGTATGATAGTAGTATGTATATACGGTCGGTCGGAAAGCGGATATGTCGCTGAGTGTATAGAGATTATAGGTGTGCGGTTGGAAATGTCATGTAGAGACATAGATCATTATGGAAAAGAAAATCATACTTCATCCACTTCCTGGCCTTCATCTTCGATATTTTGGACCTCCGGAGGGATGGTCAGCTGTAGCAGTCGCACGGAAGGATTGGCCTGTTCGATATGCGACAGCCGGACATTGTACAGTCGGTTCTGGCGGGGTTCGGCAGCGGTGCGCAATTGATGGGGCAGTGAGCCCTTCCGGTTTGTCGGGGAGCTCATGTGGTGTGCTTGGTGATAACAGCACAATTGGTTGGTAGCCGATAGCTGGCGCTTAGAGAAGAGAGCTGATGGGTGATGGAGAGATTGGACTGGGAGCAGTTGATGGCACTGCAGTACTAGTCGGAGTCTCCGCATCCGGAGATCCAATGAATGTTGCGAAGGACTGTTGCTTCTTGGAGATGGTAGCAGCAGTAGTTAGAGGATTCACAGGGCCAGCTGGCGGGATAAACATTTAGTGCCTTTACATGGATTAGAGTAAGTGATTTTTTGCCCTGAAATTGACTGTGTTGTAGTTATCAAGAGCGCATTGCTGGTTTGGTAGAAGTACGAAGTAGCTGAGTCGAGGCTAGATGGATGACGTTGGGGCATGTCATGTGCCTTCTTGGTTTGTTTGCAGCGAAGTGTACTACTACTTTGTATGTACTCATTCCCATCTTTGTGCTTCAACATCACATCCTACTGATTCAACGAAATGGCTCAGTGAGATAAACAGGGAACTGATGGTGTTCCTAATGACTGTCAACCCCTCCTCCAGTCTTCTTATGCAGGTGCAGTCACAACAGTACTGTACTAGTAAATCACAACTAGTACTTACAGTCTGCCAGTTTGCTCCACCTGGGCGCTTCGCACTCTGATTGGACATCCCCGAGCATCCCTTCCAATGAAAATGCATGGCCATGGTCACATGACCTGATATCCCCTCATTCATCGTCCCCCTGCCTCGACATTTCTTCCCTCTAGCACGAAGGTATTGAGCCATCTAATACGGAGTAGCTATTAGAGCTGATACTCTCATGGGTCGCACCCACCAACGGGCGGGCAGATTCTTCTCTTAGTCTCGGTGCGTAGAGGGTTGCTGGGAGCATGCAGATCGCCTTCCCCATCACACACTAGGCGTGTGACGGCTGTCAGCCAAACGGCTACTTCTGCCGCCTCATTGGTGATGGACCCCGGCCTGGCGCCGATGCTGGCGCTTCCTAGACGGCAAGCATTGGCCAGATGCAACCCGTGGGAAACATCAACTGCATTTCCCGCTTTCCTGGCTTGCCAGTGCCTTGCTGTGATAGCGCCCTTCTCCTCATCTGGACCATGCACCACAACAGGATGGACGCCGGCGCTTCTGGGGTGCCAGACTTCTTATCCTCGCCATCGCCCCGGCTGATCATCCGAAGCTCCTCTCTCCGGTAGCCAATTTTGTCTTCTTGCTCTCATCTATGTGTTAGCACTTGGTGTTTGATGCCAGTGAGCTGAACGTACAGCCATAACCGACCTGGACATCAGTCACAGGTGAAACACGAGCCCAGGCACTCATCAGAGCGAGTAACTTTCTATAGTGATACGATTCTTCGTGCTTCATTTTCCTAGCTGGCTTTGACGACTTCGAATTTATCAACACAATCAGTCATGATGCGCATGCGCATGCCGCCGCTTCGTGATCTCTTCCCGACGAAATGGCGTAATCACAACTTGATGTATATATTGATGACCATCGAACTGCCTCTTACGGTCATCATCCTCACGCTTACGGGTATCGCCTCTCATGACCTCTACCGGACGAAGCTTTGGCAGGATGGCGCAGACAATGGGTTTAACAGTTCGCCAAATGAAAGGCTCTACGCCGCGGCCAACCATCGGTCCTTCAAGACCCCCATTGTTTGGAGTTCATTGTATGTGAAAGCCTTCTGGTCCAGAACCCCCCTATGTCATGACTGACACTGGAACAGTATCACCGAGTACAACCTCGTCCTTGGAATTCTGAGTGTCTTCGTGTGGATTACAAAGATTCCGGTCCACATCCTTCACATGCTTACTCCGCCCTTGTCGGCCTTTGTCCACGCTGGCTTGATCGCCGTGTATATCTATTCCGTTCGTTATCAGGCCGGTCCCGACATGTCTGACCCCGAGCATCCTCAACCGGGCGCACCATGGTACATCACGAAGAAATGCTCAGTGGCTGCCGTAAAAACAGACGTTCACTACTGTATGCAAGCCAAGGCACTGTTTGCATTTTCGATAATTCTCATGTGAGGACGCCCTTATTCTCTGATATCCTTTTCTTGGGAACGGCCAGCTAATTTGCTTAACAGCCTATACTACGTTGTCGTGCTCGGCGTCAGCTTGCAAAACTGCGTCATGACGAAAGAAGAGCGTCAAGAACGGGAAGAGCTGCGCGAAGAACGAAGGACTATGAAAGAGTTCGAAGACTACGTTCTCAAGTCGCCTGGTATTCCTATGACCGTACCAAGGCAAACCGGGCCCATGCCGACGGGCATGCCTGGCAAGGCACCATTCCATAAGACTATCACTCGAAGCACGGATGTATCGTCGGCGGATCTTCCACTTCGTCAACACTTCAGTTCACCGAACCCTCGCCGCTCAATGCACCAAGTGTCGGCGGAGACACTTTCCGGGCATCAAGCCCAGTCCCAGACATCCTTTGTGCAGACCAACAAGGCGGGGGAGAACTAAGTCGCGTTGCGCTCTACCTAAGCCGAGGGAGCTACCTAGGGCTAGGGAGGCTGTTCGAGGCAATCGCTAAGCATGTAATGGGATTCACGTGCTCCATAGCTCAGTTACTTGCTCGTTATTGATGGCTTAAGATCGGATCCACGCTTACTTCTACTCTCACATCCGTCCCTACATCCACACCCGGAAACTTTGATTTATATACCATTTTGCGCGCTGGATCACGCGGAGTTTATCGGTTATACTTTCAAATGCGATAACGAGGCACTCATCAAGGTCCACATAATGTTGTTTGTTTGACTTGTTCGCCTGTCACTGGTTCGTCTAGTGTTATCGCGCTCCCCTCCCCAACGTTCTCTCACTCCCCCCCCCCAAATATTCTCTCATTCCCCCTCATCACAGGAAAATTAATTGAGTATAGCACCGATATATGTTGTTGTTGAACCGTTGACTCGTAATTAAGCGCTTTGAATTATGTAGTAGCAGCCTATACTTCGGGGCTTTCTCGGATGCTGATAAATGTCTGCTGTCTCACTGTCTCAGACTTTTACATTTCCCCGATAGCTGCCAACCCTGATAATATATCGTATCGCGGCAGCTTCATTGAGCAGAAAGAGACGCCGTGTATTCTATTGAACTCAACACTTTCCGCAGCACATGCAAACCGAACACAGTAGACTATATTGGAGAAGACAGATCCATGAAATGATAGCACGACTTCATGCCATGAAGAATATGTAAACAAAACATAATAACTAGTAAATCATGAATATTTGATTACTAAGTTATCACATGACCGTGCATAATGGCTTGTGTAACACGTGACCGCAACCGGACCAACTTACTGCTATCATATCAACACCGGTCGGGATTCCACGCAAGTGACCTCTCGATATCTCTCACTTACGGCTGATCAACGTCCTCATAATGTCCCTTTCCCGGACCTCCTCTGTCCTGCGACAATGTCGCTTACAATTGCACCCGGAATTCAACTCCTTGACGCGCACTTCCCCTCCCCTAAGCTATTCGACCCGCCATCGCCGACTCTCCCGCTATGAAGCCAAATCTTTCCATACGACGACGCCCTCTTATGCAGCGCCACGATCTCCCATCGCGCGGAAAGCTCAATCCACTCGGAGACAAGCCGTCTTCACAATTGACGGAGTATTCGCCCACACTGTCCAAGGCGATGTCGAGAAAATGCTACAAAGGCTAGAAAAGACCGTGGAGGAACACTATGACCGGTGGAAGGAAACCCACAGCTATGAGGGAAGTTATGGGCGCGCGAAGCTGAGCCTCGACAAATACAAACAAATTGCACAATCCCTGCTGCGCACCGCCTATTCCCAGCCTCCATCAGCACGTGCCATTCGCGCAATTTCCACCAATGTCGAGGTCATCTGGAACGTTTCGAGGTGCCTTCTAAGTCCCGATAATCGGGCCCTGGAAGTTTGGCTCCACAGTGCTTGTGCTCTCGCAGGCGCAAGATCCCCTGCCCTTATGCTCGCTGAACGGAACCTCGACGACGCGCATCCGAATTACCCCCTACGCACTCAATTTCTGGATAAAGTTGAACAATGGGCGTTGCAAGAACGTGATCCTCGTGCTATGCATGTTTATGTGAGAACGTTGATTGCCCGCGGGGAACATGAAAGCGCGGTGCCGTTTATGGATGAGCTCATGTCGACTATCTATCCTTCAACACGAGTGGAGGGCCTGGAGACGCCTCTTTCGTTTTACAACATTCCCCAGGTGTGGCCGACGTATATCCAATTACAAGAGGGGCTGAAGAAGAAGGGAGTGAATTGGGGCGTTAGCAGAGATGAGCTGGCCCGTCTGGCAGGAGTGGATTACCAAGAGCCTAACTACTTGTCGAGTTATGCTTCAGCGATGTTTGAGGCTGGTGATTATGAGAAGTACGAGCAGTACATGCATCAGGCTGCAATGGCCGGTGTTCCCAGTGCTTGCGCCTCTTTGGCACATTTCTACTACCTTACTGCGAGAGGACTGTTCCCCCGTCGGGGAGAGAAGACGTTTGTTCCGCGGTCGGAAGAAGACTCTGGCGAGGTACTCAAAAAGGGTAGATTGGAGTCTCTTTACTCCAGCATTGTCCGTGGTCTGGCACCCCACGAATACTACAATAATCTTGCTCTCGAGTGGTGGGAGCTGGGATTGAACATGGGCAGCGATTTGTCTGCTATGTTCCTTGCTCTCGCTTACCGAGAGGCCGGTCAGCTAGAAGTTGCAGATTCTTTTTACAAGCTGGTAGATACGCCTCGTTTATGGGCCCCCAAATTCACCGCTGATGATCTCGCAATTAATTGGGACAATCCGTTTGCCAGCTTCTCTGTGCCACGGCGAGTACTCAATGTAAAATGGTATGACAGCGATGCCAAATGGACCACTGAGAAATAGCCCAAAAGAAAGGGAATCAAAGGAAACTCAAAACGCCAAAATCACGCTTGTCTAGCAATGCTGATAGTCGTACCAAGATGCGTTATGTCACATGAAGCGTGTTGCCACGCGAAACTGGCAAGAGTGAAAAGGCGGTTCAACTTTCCGGCTCAGAAGAATTCCTCGGTGTCAAACCAGGTGTGGAGGATGTCTGGTAAGGCGTCTCGTGGGGCCAGTGCCGGCGTGAAAGTTTATTCGGGTGTTGCTCGACACGGCAGCTGTTTATTGTTATGCTTGCCGGCATGATCGGTGCTTATGCCTCAAGCCGATGAAGAGGCTTCCTGCCCGCCATCCAGCTCGTCCCTTCGGGCGGCTGTGACGGCAGAGGAAGCAAGTTCGAAAAGGTGAGTCGAATCGACGCTTGACTTTGAAGGTGTTCACAACCTGCCCAAGTGCTTGCCGGCAGTAGTCGAGGTCATGGGAGGCTCAGTTATGGTGAGGGTTGCTGCAGGTGCAATAATAACTGGAGTTGTTGTTTCATCCTTGCAGCCGAACCAGCCGGGGGTCTTGCAGGTCGTGGTCGAGGTCATGGGAGGTTCAGTTGTGGTGATTGTTGGTGCAGATGTAATATCCGAGGTGGTTGTTGGATCTTTGCAGCCGAACCACCCAGGAGTCTTGCAGGTGGAGGTGGAGGTGGAGGTCGACGTTGTCTCGCCAGTCGTGGTTGGATCCAAGCAGCCCCACCATCCTGGGGTCTTGCAGGTAGATGTTCTGCTAGTCGTAGTAGACGTGGAGGTAGAGGTGGCCGAGGTGGTAGTAGTGATTTCAGAGCCGTTACTGCGGAAAAACTTCCAGAGTTCACAATCGTAGCACTCCTCTTCAGGCGCACAGGAAGGCACATCGTCGTAGCCAGCAAGAACATTCGCAATGACATAGTTAATGCGATGTTTGCTGAGTCCAACACGCCAGCCCTTGTCTTCAACAGTGTCATAGACACACATCTGACCAGTATGGCATGCGGATTCCATGGCATAGCCACCCCAGGTACAAACTGAGCTTACTCCATTGCAAGTTCCCATGTAGACCGGATCTGCCGTATGTCCGAAATGATATGATCCAGTGTTCTTACGTGACTGAGGGTAACGTGAGTCATGTCCTGGCGGACTGGGAAGACCCAAACGAGCTGCTGGGAGTGCTTCCGGAACAGCTTCGAAGGTAACAACTGGTACCCCAAATGTCAAGCCTAGCAAGCTGGACACCGCACCACCCAAAGAATGGCCGGTCAGCCAAACGTTGGCATTTGGGTACATCTCGGTGATATTAGAGTAAAGGTCGATTGAGGCGCGATAATATCGGTTCTCATCTAGCATCGCCTCAACAATGCACGTCAGGTTCCCATTGTACAGGGTTGTCTGGCAATCGCAGACTTGCCGCCAGAGGTAAGAGCCCCCCTGGCCACAGCAGCAGCTGAAGAATAGATTGTCGTTGATTTTATCATTTGTAGTAGTGCCCTCGCCATCGAACAAGGCCGGTGAAGTTCCCTTGAGGGAGATGACCACCGTGCTATTGGTCTTATCGGCATATACGTGACCTCGGAGCCCGTCTCCTTGCCACCCAAAACTTCCAGAGTGGTTGAACCGACCATGAATATCCTGCCAATCCCCGGTCCCAGGTACCTCGATGTAGTCATTCGCAGTCATCATTGCCAAAGCAACGACGGTCTTCTTCTCCGTGACATTCGGACCCGGCAGCGTATCCATGACCCAATCGGACGGCGACAGCGCAGCTGCCGAGCCAGAAGATCGTGCAGTCACTAGGTGTTCTTCAATGACCGACAGGCGTCGGTCTGCAAGTCTTTCGATTGTGAGTGGTTGTGACGAAGCAACCAGCGGAGTGTTCGATGTGACGACATCGGATTCGACTCCTTCATCTGAGACGGCCCGAAGACGAGTGTCTGGCGTGATATCTAGTCTGCGGTGGAGATCGGGATCTTGATAAGTTCCTCGGTGAAAGATATGGCGAAGCGTGAATTCGTGGGTGTCTGAGAGGGGGGGCGAGTCACCCAGCGGGATCTGAGGAGGGAGGAAGGGCGACGCTGGTCGGGATCCGAGGTATACGGGCTGATAAGCGGAGATCAGGCCTGGAAGTAGTGTCACCGACCATAGCAGGTCGGATAGTCTTGTGTTCCCCCAAGAAGGCTTTTTATTCTGCCCTCGAAGGCCTTTCATGGCGATACAGTGATGGACAAAGATGCAGGGATGATGCTGAGAGATAATAATGATGGAAACAGGGTCGCTCTAGATAACCGGCGCCATTCTGTAGATAGATAGATAGATAGGCAGTAGTTGAGGTGGCCACCGACTGGGCTGGAGAAAGTGGGTATTGGGTTGTCACGTGATAGTCACTGGCCCCCACATAACCAAAGTAGTAGATGATCAACCAACATAGCTGAGTGGATCATCCAACTACTAGTAGCTCACATGAGCTGTTTTCCTTTCTTTCTGTCGTCATGCCTATCAGAGTCAGGTATCTCACGCCTAGTTTGTCGGTGGCACCCGCTTCCTTCATGATGGGTTGTTGACGAACACTGTTCATCTACCGCGGAGACGGGTGCCTGTGAAAGACTAATTGTAGATGAACCTTACGCCAAAATTACAATCCAGGATCGTCATTCTCACCTACTTAGTAGTACTCATCATTTGATATATATCATCCTATCATGGGTATAAGTTTATGTTCACCATGGGTCCACCCCCTTAGTCCGCCCACCGAACTGGGTAGGTACAAGCCAAACTAACACTAACATTGTCCTGCTTCCAGCATGGCATTATGGCATTTACTAGCTACTCAATGTTACTATAGCTCGTCATGTACCTTCTCACCGACAGCCCGACCCAGACTCATCCCCACTTCAACATCAACAGCAATGGCGTTCTTACTCGCTTTCAAAATGTCATCATCAAACTGTATACGACCCTTCTGGAATGCCACAATAATGGACGACCCTCCAAACTGGAAGATCCCGAGCTCATCACCCTTGTGTATCTGAGTCCCCGGTTGCTGATACTGCGGGTGAATCCTATTGACCATTAGCACTCTTCAACTGGCACCCACAACTCATAAAGTGCATACCTGACTGTCCCCACCTGCGAAGCCCCAATAGCCACAAACAGCACTTCCCCAAACTCTTTTGTTTCAATAACCACATAATCCCTCGCATTCCTCGTCAAGATGTCCACCTGACTCTGCAACGCTATTGGATCCACCTCATAATAGTCCCCCGGCATGCTTCGAAACTGCTTGATAGTCCCCGAAACCGGACTATGATACCGATGATAATCCTGCGGCGACAATCGAAAACTCGCCACCGGGCCATCCGCGAACTTCGGCCCCAATTGCTTATCCATTACCAGATTCGTGATGGAGAAATCATTCCCCTTGATCCAGATCTTCTTGCTCTCGGCTACGGCTTCGTAGGCAACAACGCGCGAGTCGGCAACTATCACTGCGGCCGTGGGGTCGTCTTTACGGTAGATGGGGCGCGAGCCAGGCTTGTGGGCACGTACGAAAAAATCTTCGAATGTTGCATAGGCTGTTATGTCGGAAGGGGTGAAGTCGTTCATATTGATCCGGTAGAAGTCAACAAAGGCCTTGATGCGTTTCCGAGATGCAGGGGTGGCTTCTTGTTTGCCTGCTGGGGTCAACACTGGGTCCCGAGAAAAAAAAAAAAAAAAAAAAAAAAAAAAAAACATTTAGAAAGGGACATAATGATGCTACCTTCTTCAACAGCAGCATGATGCAAGTATAATCGCATCAGGTGAGTGGTATCCAGCCATTCTGTTAATGGGTTGAATAAGAGAAGCAGTTTAAGCTTCTTCCATAGCGGCTGCTGTTCCCGCATGTGTTTACCGGTCTGTCTCCTGTAAGTACGGCGCATGTATTAGAGCGATCAGCGAGGAAGTTACCTTGCGCTCTATGGTGATCCATCCAACCTCTCTATTATGGACCTAAGACCCGTTAATTGCTGTGGTACGCGACATGGGAGATGACTTACCATTTTTACCAAAGACAGCAGATAGTCTGCTATCCAGTGCAAAAATGTAATAACGAACATTCTGGCTACTGTTCAAATTGTTGGATCTTGTGAGTTTGTAGCCATTTTCTTTTTCTTCGCGATGGAAATGTGATCGAAATCGTCGCGATGCAACGGCAATGATGTCAGCATGACGGCTTCCCGATGGCTGTATACTATATACTACCCATCCACACATACTCATCTCCCTCCAGGATCACAACCTCCCCTCTCGCCCGGAAGGTAAGAGGTAGTAGATAATGTTGAGACATTTACTGCAGCCAGGCAGCTGTCAGCTGATCCTTCGCTTCTTCTTCCTGCGTGGCCTCTGACCACCACCTCTTCCAACCGACCAACCATCTTCTTGAAATCTAGATAGATCAAATCCATATATCTTTGTCCCTTCGTCTTGACAGATAATAACTGGTTATTGTTTCAGTACTCACGGTGTCATAGAAATAGACGATGTAACATAGGATTAATACTGCCTGTTTGGAACATTGGAATTTCACGATACAGTTGAGGAATCAAGGGCACATCTAACAATCTAATAGTAATGACTGACATTTGTCTGTGTTTTTGTCAAATGTACTTTCTCGTGCTGTGATGAGCTATTGTTGCTCTCTGACTGGTTGTGTTCTATGGGTCCTTAGCTAAGTAGTACGTGCTTTCATCATCATGTTCGCGTGTGTTTACTAGTAAGTTACTCATTTATTGGTTGTGGAACGGTAAATTCTCTAGGTATACCTTCCCTTTGCTCATGCGATAACCATACAGTAGATGAGCTAGCAACCAGAAAGAAACAATAGTGCTCGTGCTCACAATCCTCAGAGAAACAGCCCACATCCACCATACAAATATACATAGCGGGCGCGATGAAGTCAAAGAACATGAAGATGAAGTTGAATTGAATCCATACATCTATATTAACCGAAGAAACCCATCCATGCTCATTTCAGCCCTCCCGCCAACAACAAACTCTGCCCAGTCATATACCCCGTCTTCACTAACATAGTGACAACATTAGCCACCTCCTCCGGCAACCCCAACCTCCCTAGGGGAATCGTGCTTGCCACCTCCGGAATGGACTCAGCATTAGGGATCATCCCTGTATCCCCAATCATCGCCGGCGCAACATCATTGACACTAATATTGTACTCTGCTAACCTCGTTGCCAGGTTCTTCATCATCCCCGTCAACCCTGCCTTTGAGGCCGCATAATGACACCCATTAATGCCACCCCCATACCCCGCAATCGACGACATGAAGATGATCCGCCCCCAGCGCTGCGCCTTCATGTGCTCGACTACCCCCTTGACGAGCAGGAACGAGGCCCGTAGATTCACGGTCAGAGTGTAATCGAATTCCTCCGTCGTGATGTCCCATACTTGCGGGACGCGTTTGCCGTACCCAGCGTTGGAGATGAGGATGTCTGGGTAGCGGTTGCTGTGTTGGGATTGGATCTCGGTGAAAAGGGTGGTGATCTGGGCGGGTGAGGAGACGTCGACTTGGTGGATAGTGATGACGAGGGTGGGATGTTGGGCTTGGAGCTCTTTCTGGAGGGTGGTTATGGATGTCGGGTTAGATGAGTAGGTGAGGGCTAAGTGCACGGCTTTGGCAGCTAGTTGGCGGGCACAGGCGGCGCCGATTCTATGGTATTTGTCTGTTAATAATGGATTTGTTGACTTCAAGTGTGGTATGGATAGGGGTGGAAGAGAGTTTACCCTCCTGAGGCGCCGGTGATAAGGGCTAATCGGCCACCAATGTCGTTTAGTTGGTCCATGGTAAGTTTCTTAAGGAGACTTGAGGGTGAGAAAGATGTGAATATTCAAATGTTACTAATGGATTTTTCTGGGAAAAGATGGTAGATATAGTAGAACTGCTTACTCGTAGAGTCTTCCCCGCTGGTCGGCGCAATTCCGGTCCCAACCCCGCGACATTATGGATCCACTCCCCGGGCTTTGTTCCGACGGTGCAGCGCCGAGCTACTGTAGGTTAGCACTATTCTTATTAGATCGCAATGGTTAACTGGCTATATACATAGAAAGACATTACCATAGGACCATTGAAAGGGTTATAGCGCATCGAGTTGTAGTTGAGTCTACACGATCAAGGAAAGTGCGGACGGCACAAGCCATAACCCAACTTAGTGTTTTCATGATGCGTACACTGAAGTACCTATAGGGTACTGAGGTGATTTTAGTAGTGTGCTGATTCATAGCATTCTTTCTGCGAGTTGCTGTAGATTCTAGTCAAGGTTTCCATACCGATCTTCATAGACTTTCGCTGCTTATTAGCCCAAGAATGTAGTCACCTAAGGCTGATATAGTCTTATAATTTCAGAGACTCCAACATACCCAAGTAGTATGATATTATCTTATATTACATACCTCTCTAAACGCCAACCTAGAACCCTCAATCAACAACACCAAAACAAAAGCCATCAAGAAACCGCATCTCCTCCACTCTATACATTTTCCTCCTCTTTCTCCACCCTCTCTACTTGTCTCCCAACCAGCCTGACATACCCGGAATCATATGTCCTCCTAATAGTCGTCCACCCCAGAGAATAATACAACAGCCCTAACAGCGCAATCGCATATCCCACCATCTGAAGCGAAGTGATCTGCGTGCCCCAAATCACCACAGAACAGACAATTAACAGGATGTTTTTCGGCACACTAACCAGCGTCATAGTCAAACCGGATGTCTTCCCAATCTAGACATACGCAGATTCATTAGCACTCACATACAATCACCACCTCATCACCAGCCAAAAACAATAAGAAAAGGGATATACATACCAAAACAAAAATCGACACATTCAACATGAACCCCACCGCGGCATTTGCTAACAACACCCCGAACCCAGTCTCCCCAACCACACTCCAACTGAACCCGCGCAGCTCAGTATAAAACGCGATCATAAAGTTCGTGAAAGCGCACACCGGTGCAGAGTAGTACAGTGTGACCAGGGGATCCATTTTCTGGCCCTCGTCTGACAGCAGGATCTGGATCATGACAAGACGGTTGGCGTCAAAGACAAGACTGGCGAGTTGGTAGATGACGCCGAGCCAGGAGAATTGGACTTCACCGGCGACGGCGAGGGCGACACTGAAGGCAATAAGGAGGATGTTGAGGAAGGATTCGAGCGACGGGGTTTTGACATGCCAGGCCCAGCTGGTGAGGAGGGTTACTATTGGGCCACAGGCCTGTTTTTGATTCCTTAGTATTGACAAATCATATTGGGGGCGATGGGAGGTGTACTTTGAGCATTTGGATAAAGGAAACATTCAGGTAGAGGTAGACGATGTTGCTGCAGACGAGACTACCGCTGTAAAGAATGCCGATGGGGATGATCATGCGGACGTAGGTTCGGCCGTCCATACGCATTCTCTTGCGACCGTCGAGCATGCTGGTGGTTCGGGCGAGAAGTTGAGTAGCAAGGGTTGCGAAGACGAGATGCCATGTTGTTAGGATGATTGCTGGGTTGGAATTGTTGATTAGACTGTGTTGATACACTCCCTCACATCATAAAGACAAACTCACGGTATCCTGGATTATGTTAGTTGGATGCTCAGATCCATAATGAGTACAGTGGAATGGAGTAATTCACGTACTAAATTCAGTGGACTCAATCACCCATTTATTGAATAAAATGGTCAAATTCGACCAAAACACCCACGACCTACATTTAATGGTTAACGCTGGTGATTTTGGCTGACTGGTGACTACATACAGAATGCCCAGAGTAACAGGCCATACTGAAGCCTCCTTGGGCGGAATATCCAGGATCGCCATTATTGGGAGGGACTCTAACGGGCCTTCCAGTTGACACAAAAGTAATACTAATAAACAGTGTCTCCAAAGAAGCGCGAGGTGGCCATTAGGGGCGTTTCACTCCGCCAAAAGAACCATCACACGGTCAAACCTGGATATATCTAGTACTAGTAGTGGTGGATAGCACTACTTCCTTCTGCTAGGTGCTAGGTCTATTTCCATGGAACTGGCAACCATTGTAACGCCGGGATAGTCTGGACCGAGAAAATCAGGGTCTGGGGCTAAACGAAGGAGAGAGTGTGACCCTGGGACGTTTGCGGGTTTTGACGGGGTCTCATCCGTGGGAGGAAGGCTTGGGTGTAACCCTACTCTGCATGATTCATTCATTGCAACTGCACAGCTGCATCAATCAAGCTTCAGCAGGTCCGTAGGCGGCCATTTAAAAGCTGCTTTCATTGGTCAGGTCGTAGCAGGGGTCCAAATGAAGGGAATCTGATTGGTCTCCAGTGTTTTGGGGGCGTTTATGTGTAGCAGGTCCATTGGCGGCTACTTACGAGGGACTAGCTTAGGTTGTCGCGCACACGTTCCATTTGCTACGATCTGAGTCTGAGGAATCTCGGATGGGGCTGGTGGATCAGGGGCCGGGTAGCAATCCAACTCTCAATAATATAGTCATTGTGGGTATCGATGATGATTAACACCCGGATTCAGGGGCAATGGGGGAACTTCGGAGCGGGTGGATCTCCAAATAGATTTTAGGATGAGACAGGGGATCGTAAGCTGAGCTGATTAACTAGATAGTATTCTTTGGCCATGCTTACGTCGTTGAGCTAGACTGTCCGACTAACAGGGATGGGGTGAGACTGGATGAGAAAATAACAGAATGTCTGGTGAAAGTTGGCCAACCTTGACGGGGCAACCCATTTGCCTACCGGAAGCTCGGAAGATGTTCTAACTGTATTCTGTATACTAGTCTAGTAGTAGTATAGTTATTAATCGAGTAGGGCTGACGCTTGCGGACATTGACCCAATTGACCAATCAGAGCACGGGAAAGGGTGACTGTTCCGTTTTGGGAATGGGCATCCTTAAGCTGGAGCCTGCAAAAACTTAATGTGTCAAACCTTTCAGTCTTTATGTCCGTACATCTATTCACTATTGAGACATTGGCTAATAGTCTTTTATGTTGGAGCTAGCATATTCACAAGCGAAGATTCTTGGCTCTGTATGTCAAATAGTAAGAGTGACAACACATGGCTTGTGCCAGCCATACAATGGCAGTTCTCTTCACGCAGATCCATACATTCCGATCAGCATAACCATAAAAGCTTGAACTATTGTTAAACAAGAAAACTATCAACCTAAAACACCAATCCACAATACCAATCGGTCTATTGCCCAGAAACCAGCACATCAAATCCTACTTACTTCCATGCTTTCTCACCACGAATGCGTACAATATGTAATGAAATAACTCGGCCACTCATCCACATCAATCCACCGCTTACACTCATCCGGATTGAAGTCCGGATTGCCCCACGCCGCCAGGCACGCCGGGTGCTTATCATCCGCCCAGCTATACGGATAGATCTGCTGTCGCGGCAACACCACCATCTTATCAGCCTTTGCCCCAACCTCATCTTCACTGCCCTCTGGTCCACAGTACAGGTCCCACGCAGGTGACCACCGCCGCACCGTTCGACACACATGCGTCCGCACCGAACTATCCTTGAAGTCCTCGTAATACTTGTGTAGCATAGTACCAAGTGCCCCAGGCCCCGTAAGTGACTCAACAGATCCATCGCCGTTCCCGTTGGGATTCTCAATCACGTGGATCACAGGCAGGAGCCAGAAAGGGTGGCCGGGGGGTGATGCCATCCAGCCATTAGGGACGGCGGCGGGGCCATCCAATCCTTCTTTGTGTGCCATATGGCCGACAAAGCCGCGCTGTGTGCATTCATGGTCGTTCTTGCGTGGCCCTGAGGAGAGGATTTGACTGTGCTTGGCAAGGGTGGTGGAATGGCTGGTGAAGAGAGGCTCCACGGGCCGGAGAGCTTCTGTGTCGACGTCGGCGTACATTCTAGAGATTACTGCTGTTAGCTAATGCGAGGTTAATAGTTTCGGTGGTGACTTACCCTCCGAATAGGTACATGTAGAGGTTGCGAACCACATCTGCTCGGTGGATCTCCTTGGGGAGACGGTTGTAATCTGTCAGGAACCAAGGGAAGTACTGTTCCACGAGCATCCGGTTCGTCTCGTCATCCCATAGTACATACTCCCAATCTGCATTCTGCGAGCGCATTGTTCGTACCCAGGTTTGGGCATCGTCGCTCATGTTGCTACCGGCAGGGAACCACGTCTGATGGATAAGCTTAGGGATGGTGGTGAGATCTTGGGAGAGCGGACGGGCGAGGAGCTCTCGTGCTGAAAGAGTGCGAGCATAGTGGTCTTTGAAGGGGGCCTCATAGTCGGTTGGGAGGACATCAAGATGGAAGAGGTATGAGAGGAGAAGAACAATGGCAAGGGCGAACGAGAGCTGAAATCGACGCCGGTTAAATTGGGATGTGAGCCATTGGAGGCAGGATCCTCGAGGAGATGACTGAAGTATCATCAGGGCGATTTGGCAAAGATTTCGAATTTCGGGGCAATGATCAGGCGATAATGTGGTTTGGGGGTTGTCATAGAAGAGACCACCCTGAAGTTGTTCTCGCCTCACCCTAGATAGAATCTTGGACCAGGGCCAGGTAATATGGACATGGTCCCATGTACAATGGCAGGGTGGGCATTGGTGGATTAACAATCTTCGTATTCAGTGATGGAGTCAAGGCGGATATGTCTTACTTGGACCAGGTACCTCAGCGTCACATCCACTGATGCTCCATTGCCGAAAACGTTCATCACACGAATACGACCCACTCGCACCTACTGATCGACCGGGCGGATGGTTCCTTGATTTTCAAAGAATTTGAAAACTTACTTCGAGCGACAGGCATAAGGGTAGGGAATTCGGGAGCCATTTTCTCTTTCCGACAGCTTCGATCGAGCAAATGGCTCAATCGATACCGTTCGTTTGAGATGCTGTAGATAGTATTGCATTTGATGTTATACACTTATATCTCATCTTCTAAGCACTCTTCGATCCAAGCTTGTCCAGGATATTGCAAACAGTATAGTTATATGCCACATTTTCTGTGAATGGAAAAAGAAATTCGAACACGAGCATATGTACCCCAAATCCACTCCCATCCTAGTACAATCCACCCAATGCCAACCTCCGCGGAGTATACACCTTCAGATTCCATATTTATCATGTTTGGTGCCTCAAAATTATCCTCATATACCTACAGGAAGTCAGTTATATCAGAGTAACCAGAAAGACAAGGTAACTTACAAGCTCATTCCCGTCAAAGCCATCAAAATACCCGCGACACTCTGCCGCAGAATCTCATGATCACTCAGCACCCATCCCAACCCTACAATGATGCACGTCTTGAGCTGTCCGATCACCGTGCTTGTAACCGGCCCAGCAGCATCAATTATATAGAACTGAGACAGGTTCACCAGACAAGCGAATATTCCACTCTGCAAAGCATAAATCAGCCACTTCTCTACACTTATTCATTGTCAAACAAAGAAACGACCAAGTCAACTTACCGCAAGTATCGAAGTCCACAACGAACCAGGGACAGTCGCAACCTCCGGAAACGTCTCCATCCACGGAACAACACACAGCAGGACAGCCGCGCTGACAGGGGCCTGATTGAGTAGAAGCTGCATACTACTCATCTCCAGCTTCTTGTGATACCGGCCCACCAAGACCGTGTACAGTGCACTAGCGCACACACCCGACAAAGCGAAGAAAATACCCTCTGGTGTCGTAGTATCGTTGCCTTTCGCGGACGGTAGTGAATCAAAGTACGAGACGATGCCAACTCCCGTGCAGAGTAGGACCAGGGGAAGGAACGCCGATCTGGGGATGCTGGACTGGAACAGCACAAAATTTAACAACGCCGTAGCAGGTGTAAGGAGCAGCCGCGCCAGCTGGTGAAAGATAACCGACGAATAAGCCAAAGCCAGGTTCTGAAAAATGACCTGGATGCACATGGCCGCAACAAGGTGGAGGATTCGATAGGGTGATACGTGCTTTGGTTTGAACCAGCCGCAGAATGGCCGCGATGCTAGCCATAGTGTGAGTCCGGTGATGGTGAAATGGTAGGCGGCGAAGGATACTTGTGAGTTGCGGAAAGATGCATTGGAGAGGATGGATTTGTTAGTGAAGACCTGATTGAGTGTGTCAGTAACTAGTAATAATCATCTTCATGTCTAGCATGACAGAAACTTACAATAGCAACAGTCGCGACAATATTAATTGTCATCCATACAAGAAGTCCAACACTTCCTATCTGCTTTTCCGGCTCTTCAGACAACGCCCCAGGCCTCTTTTCGTCCTCATATGAATAATATCCCAGCTCCAGCTTCACATCGTCCGATGATGAGGGTGGTGGTGGTGGTGGGCTTGCAGGAGTGCAACTTATCGAAGTCAATAGACCCTTGCACTCATCGTCCTTCGGGTTCGTTTCTGCAACAACCATGTTGAAAACCCAGTATAGTATAATTGGATCGGTTCAGCGAATCGTGTTGCTTTCTAGAGGGTGAGGCTCTGCAATAAACACAGCATATCATCCCCGGGTCCTAAAAGCTATGTATGCACCAGGGATCTCTATTTCAAGGAAGGAAAGAAACTCTACCACCATCCACTCCACTTTCTCTCAATGACATCTACCTTGGTTGGGTGGCGCTACAGGTCATGTCCAACAGGTCTACCAAGTACATGATGTCTAGAGTGACCCAGAGGTTGTGGTGCTAGACAGAAGAACGCACTGAAACATCATGAGGCCCCACGACCCAGACTTGTGCGAGTGTGCTCTACCGTATCCAAAGGCACATGATTGAGAAAAGAGCGGGTCAGAAAGGAACCTCAATGTTACACTTTATAGTTACTTCTCGTACTCGTGATGTGCGCCAGTGGGGGGGGCGGAGAACCTGGATCGAAGCCGGAAACGGAAGTAAGATAGGGATGGTTGCGGGCACTGGAATGTGGGTTCGTACGGCTCCTGTAAACCTTGGGAGAGGGGGGTGGTTCTCCTGTTTCCGTCAGGGACCAGACTTTGTAAGCTTAAACTATGAATTTCGTGGAAATTGAGCTTGGGGTTCTCTGTTCACTTGGCTGGGTCGTTGTGGTTGGAAGAGAGATCGGTCTGTTGTACGGGTCAGGTTCCATGGACTGCGCAGCAAAAGCGATCTGGGCCGGGCTCTTCTTATCTATTGGAGACACGAAAGCCATAGCTAAGGGTTAAACAAGGGACTATACATTCTTGGATATAATAACTTTAAGTCACGCTAGCAAATATGTACCAACAAGCTCAAGAAACTAGATAACCCCTCGGGTACTCGAACTCCTTCCAATCCAACACGCGCCGCGACCAAGGAAAACCCTCATCATACTGGGCATAAACAGTATCCCTACCAGCCACCAGTCGATGAATATTCAGTCGGGTGCTGTACATGAGGTTCCAGGCCTGTGCCTCGTGCCACTCGTCGCTGCCTTCACGGATGTCCGAATCCTTCGACGCAAGACCGGCTGCCTTGTACGTCCCGATGATGTTGGGAAACGGCGCATAACACTCGATCTGCGAACGGCCATCCTTACCACCACACATATCAGCCATGGAGTTATCCACTGCAGCCACGAGCCGATCGACCGCTAAGGCTGCTAGGATCCTCTCTGCGCCTCGCTTGGTCACCGCGTACCCATAGGTGCAGCAGCCCATATCGGCCCGATAAATGAAACGAGTCGACGTCTCAGGGTAAATCTCCTTCCATGAGTCGAGGGGGCCGCCCCACGTACCACGGTGATCGACACTGGGGGCAGTCGGGTCATTTGGGATGGCATAGAATTGCGTCTCGTTGGGAGCGGCAGATGAAGCGCATCCGCCCACCCAGAGGATGTCCCAGTTGGTGCCGTATGGAGCGCTCTTGGTCGTATTGGCATTTCTGGTTAACGCGCGTACGCCTCGGGCAAATTCGCGGAGTTGTTGCCTAATGCTAACGTCCCAGTCTGCGTCGTCTTCAAGGATAAGTGCTGTTGAGTAGGAGTTTTGGACCATACTATATCATGATAATGTCAGCTTATAACAGGATAGGGTTTTCGCATGACGAAGGAGCATACTGACTTGCTCAAAGCGTTCATATGAGCGCGCCAGCATCCTATCTCGGATGGTGCTAATAAGTTATCCTAACAGAGTTGTCAACTAGGGTCATAGGTCTCAGACACAAAACAGCGTACATTGAGCAGAGCCTTCTCGCTCATGTCCTCTGCGTGTACCCCGTCTATCCATTCGACCCGAAACCCGGATATCGACGCGGCGAGGTTGAGAAAATCGCGCTTATCTGTTCGTTCTTTCAGCCCAATGGCGTAAATGTGTTCAAACTGTCGAAAACCGTTAGTAAATACGTAACGGACATCATCAGGAAATGTAAAACGGAACAAACCCCAAGCGTCTCATTTTGAATATGCTCCAGCGCCCGATCCTCTAACGTGGACCGCGCGATCTTCACCCAGTCCTGTTTCCAATACTTTTCCCCCGTACCACTGAATAAAAGAGTGAGGATAATATAACTGGCGAATGCAGCGACAATGTATTTCGTAAATCTGGATTTCCCCCGAATCATGCTGAGAACTGGCGCCAGTTGAAGATGGTCTACAAAGTGAGAGGAGACATTGAACAAGGTGAAATATCTTGCATGTAGCAAACTGCACACTTCTTGCGCCTTCTCGTGAAGTCTCTTGGTAATCATGGGTCACTATTTTGGGATTATATGGGTAAACCTTAAGAAAGAAAAGCTGGACGTTTTGGGTTGTATCCACATTCTTTGTTCAGGAACGGCAGGTTGGTACGTAGAAGCATCTTTCCTGAAAACGGGAATCGTCACTCCGGCATGGATACGATGTAGTGGAGATCCAAGGTAGCCCCGCAGCAACAAAAGACTTTCTTTTAAGTTTATGAATGAGGAACTGGTCGCCTAGGGATGGATCAGAGATGGCCCTAATAATAGCCTTGGGAGTGGTCTCGAGCCATAGGATCATTACACCACCATACAGGAAACAATATAGAATATTCTCTGTCCAGTAACACTATCATGTCTCGGCCAGTAATTCCATGCATTGATCCACTCAGTTCTAGTCGGCGTAAATAGAACTGCAAGCTAGCTTCGTGGTTATACGAATTGACAATTATATTTATCGGGATTTATAAATCATCATTAAGGTACATAGTATAAAGAAATGCAACTTAAGTCCCTAGTGTATTATTCAGAGCGATAAGATTACTTATGTTAATTGTTAGTTAGTTATCTTAATGTTTAGTTGGTTCTTCGGAACTCGTCGGAGGTATGCACAAGTTCTACTCGCTACTGCGTTCTTGGATAATCCGGCTCTACTTCAGGGCAGACTCGGCTTGCATTTACCAGGTTGGTGATTGGAGTCAGATGAACAAGCATCTGAGAGAGGCCACCCCCGCGATGGAAAGAGGTAGAAAGGAAATAAAGAAAATAAAGAATGCAAACAGTGCATATAACTTGTACCGTGTTAAAAGGTGGGAAAGGGGGGTGGGAAAAAAAAAAGAAAGAAAGAAAGCCCCTGGTGGGGGTCACCCACAGCCTTAAGATCTCAATCTAGCTGCGGAGATAGTTAGTAACGTGTTTGCTGTAAAGGGGTCCTCGGGAGTACTTGCAAGTCTTACGCGCTACCGATTGCGCCACAAGGGCCACTTGTGTTGAAATGGTTTCACAAATTTGTCTTATCACCGCATGGGGTTATGACCCACGGATACCGCATTTTCTTGTAAATTTCACAACACCTCCGCCAAGAATTTCCTATTGCGATTATACGAACCGCTAGCGTGTTGCGGATGGTGTTTATGCTTATTAGAGAGCATCCTAGAATTGCGCGATCTGAATTGAAGTTGACCTGATTCGGATGCCACACTTTACAGATAAGGTAAACTTTAACTACATAAATCATATTAAAATCATTTCTATCGAAGGATTTCCTATGATGTATCTTACTCCTAAGTACCAACTTGGCTCAGGGTAAATATATTTCGGAGCTAGTCATCCAAGCAGATGGAAGGTGACTTTCCACCATCTCAAGCCAGACAAAAGTATCTGTCACTCGCTCCAAATCCTTGGTAGTCTGAACTATGGAAATCATGTCTGCCACCTTCTCTCCCTTCCCCCTCCACGTTAGATATTTTAGTCATATAGCGTCGATATACTTGGGAGTTGAACGCCTTTCACTGTAGAAATGGTAGTAGTAGACATGGATGTTGCATGCTATTTGGATAATAAGGCATACATCTACGATCTCATCTACGCCTTTATCTTTGGCTGACGGATCATACAATACAGCTGTGCTCATTAGCCCACCCACACGGCGACATAAGAAACCCAACAAGAGCTGAAAAGTCTCACATACCTTGCATTTATCCTTGCCGTCCACACACTCAATCTCACTGACCATCTCGAACCCCAATTTCTCATAGATTATCAGGTTTGGGAACCCCTTGGAACTTTCCAAGTAGCAAGGCATGCCCTCTCGGTCAGCTTGTTGACTAACTACCTCGACCAATTTCCGACCCAGCCCCATTCCTCGCATCGAGGAGTCGACCGCGATCACATTGCAGAAGTAGTAGCCGCGGGGATCAGTCCAAACTCGGTCGTGAGTCTCCTGTTGTCGGGCTTTCCAGAGCCAGTAACGACGGACATTAAGGCCACCTCGGCCACCGAATCGGATGTTATTGTACAGCTGGCGGAAGGAGAGGATCCAGTCTTGCGCCCAGACGGACCAGGGGACAGGCTCGGACGGGGGTTGCGGGCTGTACCACCAGCAGACTCCGACGACGGGGAAATCGGTGGGAATCTTGTCTCTGGGGGTGTTGGTGGTGTATTTGGCCACGAAAATAGGCTCGTTGCAGGAAAGGCCGTAGAGGAAGTGTGCAGCAAGAGAGGCAGCGTTGCGGTGAATGTCGAACTGTTCATAATTTTGTTTAGTTTTATTTATATGGTAGAGCTGGGACTGACAGTGCAGAGTAGGGAGCGGGATTCTACATGTACAAGTCTAGCTCAGTCTGTACATCGTTCGAGGTACCTGGTATCTCTAACCGAGATTGGAAGGTCCTCGAACGGAGGGCTACTTACCCCGGATTTATTGTTGAATACCCAGTGAAAGTACGGGTCGTCGGCGAACGCTTTCTGTATGCATGCTACGGCCGAGGGGATGTCCTCTTTTGTGAGGGGAAGGATCTCGATGGCCATATTGGGTTTGTTTGTTTGCTTTGTTCTCGTGATTGGATTGGGCTTGGATTGGGGAAGATATTGAGTTTATGATGTATGATTCGAAAAACGTATTTGATAAGTGCATTCAATTCCTACTGGCTCTGCGAATAGGTTGCGAAAGGGCAATAGTATATGCGTGAGAATGACGACGGAGGGGATAAAGAGAGAGCGCCATCTATTGATGGGAGCCGAGATAGACGGACAGGTCGAGAAGGGAAAGCGCGGGTGAGTCGCGAGGACACCGACCAGATGAGGTCTTTGATGGAACTGACAATTAAGCTTGAAGATGATGATGAAGAAGAAGAAGCTGAGAGACGGACTGTGAGAGGGTATATTTATCTGGGTTTCCTCTCATTCATGCTGCCACCCTCCCTTCGTTCCCAAATAGGCAAGTCCTACACCGACCCCGTGACAGGCCACGCTAACTTGGTTTGGTAGTTCGATGCGGCGCCGCCCGGCTCTGCTCTCTTCCTTCCCCACCAATCGTATCCCCAAGATCGTCCACCATTGACGATCGCCAAGCCACTAGACGCGATTCGGCAGGTTGTGCCGGAGGATCAGCTGGTCGGCAGGGCTTATCGTGTCATGGGGATAGCTTCACGCACGGGGAAGCTGCCATCTACCGACCCTACGATAGCCGAGTGATGAGACGAGTGGCATATGAGATATAGCCGAGATTGAAAAAAACCTTATAACGGGTTACGGAAGGGTACCTTAGAAGACAAGACTATCAGATCCGACCCACCTTACCGTGGCTGGGATATGGGTTCTATCGATTGTGCAATAGCCCCATTTGTGTAGCATAGAGCAGTGCTCGTTACACCGTGACAGATAACGTGTGTTATTGGCTTCCTAAAAGATCGACCACTTGAACTAGTCTTATATACAAGCTGAATATGGTAGATTTTGACCTATAGCCCCAGTTTGCGCTGGTGAAGGTACCTTTCTTTCTTTTCTTCTCTTCTCGCATTTTCATGACAAGCAGAACATTTCAGGGTTGGGTACGGAATAACAAGCTTTATTTTCTTGCTGACAATCGACAGCTACCCAAGGGGAAGGCCAGCCGGCCCACTTCTACTAACGGGGACTATCCCCACTATCTACACGGCAATAATAGTGGTACTTCGGTTACTGCAGTGCGTACCTTTCTCTATGAGGCAAAGTCTTTCTCTTGACCTAGCTAGCGACTCTGGCAGTTCCGGTCATCCATGGCAATGAATAGATCGTGTCGGTCAGGCCAAGTTGCCCCACCATCCAGGGGTCTTGCAGGTGGATATCTCGCTACTCGGAGTAGACGAGTTCACTAGTTCTCGCATATTGAATGCTAGAACAGCTCGAAGCAACTACTACAGAATACACCGATACTACACAAAGATCCTAAGGCCTTAGATGACTACTAAGGTACCCGCCGCACTACCATCAATATATTTTTCAGTAGTAGGAACAGCAATAGCAACAGCGTGTAGCCACTTGTCAAACATCATTATAGTCCTGACATCACTGCGATCAACTATCTACTTGGCGCGGGTCCGACGCTTTTTGTTGGTAGCAGTCCTCTCCGCCATATCATCGTGCCCATCCGGTGCATTTCGTGCTCCACGACGCCCTCGTTTGGGGCGCGTCTCCTTCCCTGTCGCCAGATTTGATGGTACTGGGCTCTCCAATGACCCATCTGCAGCTGGATCATGCAAGTGACTATCTATGCCAATTGAATCAGCCTGTTCCACAGATACAGCTTGCTGCCGGAGTCGACTAAATGCTTTCTCCATCCTTGTCTGTCCACCACTGCGGACACGCGGTGCAAAAGCACCTGCTCCTTGCGGACCGCTGAAGAAACTAGTAATATTCGATTGTGTGCCCTCCTGCTCTCTGCGGTTCATATCGCGAATTACGGGCACCAGCACCTCATCAGTGCGTTCTTGACTCCAGCCAATTGTTGACATAAGGAAGTCCCTTAGACCATGCAAGTCGGGCACTCCCCACTGAAAGGGAGACGGGTCCGAATCCACCTCTGGTTCCAGGTACGCGGCATCGACTCGGGGATCGGGGAAAGATGGTGGTAGGAAGATTTTTGTAGCATGCTTTTTGAACTTCTTGTAGAATGTTGCATGGCTATCGTTGCCCATATTGAGTCCTGTCTGCACCTGCGTCCACCAATCACGGAATTCTTCCAGGGTCCTGAATTCAGTGAGGATCTCTAAAGCAGTTACAGGTCCGATGCCGGGGATTCCTTCTGTGTAGTCGCTCCCTAATAAATGGGCGAGCCTGATGAGTTTGGTGCGGAACAGAGAGTACTCTTTCTCTAGGTCAGTTGTGAGGTAGCATTCCACAAACTTGCTTTGGTTGAACATGTTTTTGTAGACGCGTGTGCCTCCAAATAAAAATACATCACTATCATCGGTGATAATACCATCAACAAGGCCAAGTGAAACCAATTCTGCACACTGGGCTTCAGCCTCCATAGGGGCCGTGACGTATGGAAGACCGAATAGCCGCAGCAACTGCTGGCATTCAGTAATCATGACTTGTGACACTTCGTCTGCATCTCGGCGGTCCTTCTTTTGCTGATACCGCAACTGTCTTAGCTCTTGCTCGTAGTCAAATGGAAGTTCGGTGTGAGAAGTAGAGTTTAGTGTCGCTGCAAAGCGTACATGCTCTTCCCCTTCAGCCGCAAGCTGTTCGAGTAATTGCTCGTCTTCAGGATCTGAAAAATTGTCGTCATCATAATATTCTTCCACTTGGTCTAATTGATCCAGGGTATTCGGTTCCGTGGGTATGTTATCTGGCTGTATGACAACATCCTCGAACTCAGGCGAGGGCGACGTTTCGGGGTGCCTCAAATCTGTTTCATCATCAATGGAGATGTGTTTCTCCGTCATGGAGAGATTGGACGCATCCACTGGAATGATATCTCCCGTATGTGCTTCCAAAGCTTCGGCCTCCTTTGTTTCAGTAGCTTGTGCTTCGACAGGAATTACTTGTGGTCTAACCTCGAGTTTGATTTGAGATTCTTGACCACCACCGTTCGATTGAGGAGTCGGCTCCAAGTCAATGAATGGTTTTGAGCCCTTTGAAGCCCCTGAATCATGATCCCCCATCGTTTCTTCATCGCCAACGATGAACACGTGATCTGGTACATCCTGCTCACTAGGCGGCTTCACCACTGGACGATGGTGAACCTCATCACTGACGAACTCAGCATCCTTGACACTTTGCGATGGCCCTGAGAACCACGGCGGCAGTATCTGGATATCCTTCGTCTTACTTGATCCATTGTCGGATTTGGTTGCACCAGTTTCTTGTTCAGCGGATTTACCACGGTTGATTAACTTTCCAGCTTTGAACGGTTTAAGTGATTCAAAGGGTAGCGGGCCATCGAAGGGGTTACCTGCCACTTTGGGCGGTGCTTTCTTTACTCTCTTAGATTGTGCTAAGGCGGCGACAAAGTCCATTCCTTCGTCATCACTATGATCAGTAAGGTCTGCGGGGGCCTCGTGGATAGTTGGAGGCATATAGTTCTGGTTAAGCTGGATTTCAGGTAGATCATCATCGTTGGTATCGACATCGGCACCAACACCAGATTGGAGAGACATCGCGATCGCTCGTTGAAGCGTTTCATCATCATCATCTCCAGTGGCATCGAACAATGTATCTGTGGTATGGTGGTTATGCTTCGCTAGTTCGTTCTGACCACCTTCCACGAAAAGGGAGTCATCGTTGACTTCCTGCAGTTCGGGGCCTCCTGTATCCAAGCTATCACGCATCTGATTCCTGTTTGATTTGTCGAAAACCCCTTTCTGGAGGGAAGGCAGCTTAGGAAGTCGGTTCAATCCTTCGATAGGCACATCTTCAAAGCCACCATCATCGTCATCCGAATTATCCTCTTTGTCAGGGAATATAAGCTGCTGACCATACTGATCAACATCGATAGGTTTGTCCTCCTGGCCTTCTTTGTTTCCCACAACTCCCAGAACCCAGCCCCCTTCAATGGTATCATCCTTCACCAAGACGTACTCCTTCCCGCGTTCTCCGGCAATACGATGTCCTGATTTGTACAGAGCATCTTCACCATTCATGCCGTTGATATTCATGAGTCGTTGGGTTAAGTCATTGCGCTCCTTTACACGCTCGATTTGAAACTTCGAGAATGCCATTCTATTAGGAAACATGCTGTCTAGTTGCTCCTTTGAGTACCCCATCCGGAGACGGCTTCGGAGTCTGGCCGCATTGAGGATATTGTACCGGTCCGTCGTCGGGAGACTGACGAAGAATGGGCTATCAAAGTCAATTTTCGAGAAATCATACAAATTGATATCTTCTCCTTGATGAAATTGCCTCGCATATTCCTCCAATTCTTCCTGTGACATGATGCGAGGGTCATTGGGGGCCCCCATCTCTTCAAGGCTGGTTTGTAAATCCGGCAGATGATAGGCGTCTTTCTTCTTGAATGACCGCGTCTGCTTCTTTTCCTGTTCGGTTATGAAAGCATCACCGACATAAACAGGGTTGTCCGGCACCTCCTCTTCATTTTCCGTTCTCCCCCTCCGGCGGATAGCCGCCTCTTCCTCAGCAGACCTTTGCAGCTGCACAGCCAGCAGCTTTCCAGCGGTCCGCACGGCATCTTCTCGCCGACCTTCGCGCCGTTTCTTCCGGTTTGCTATAGTCTGGCGCTTGAGGACCGGAGCGCCACCATCAAACACGAAGACGGGCTGGATTCCGAAGTAGAGTAGCTTGCATATGCGGCGAAAGAAGCCCACGATATGAGAGTTCCGGAGGGCATTGCCTTCTTTGTCGCGTACCGCCTTCAAAAACTGGTAAATCCATATCGAGGCATCGACAGCCAGGCGCTTTTTATTGAGAGTTTCCAATTTGATGGGCCGTGCACAAGGATGTACGACCGTCCAGAGCCCATGGACACCCATGCTGCTTCAGCAGTCCCGATATTATGGGCTGTGAAGCCGTACCCAAGTACCGAATACTTACACGTCATATACGTTGTATGAGATGAAACCTACTAGGCGATTGTTTTGACGACTTCGGACGACGCGGATCAACTGCAGTCGGGAGGCGTCGATGAGGTCATCGGACACTTTGTGACACGTGATACTGCCTGGTATCAGATCACGTGAATTATATGACCGGAGCCGACACTATGGCTTCAGGGGCTGATGCATTTCTCATAAATGTATGTCAAAAGCAAAATTTGCAAGCCAATGGTGGGGGAATATCTAGATCATGCAAAAGTAGCTCTCCCACAACCCTGATCACTGTGGTGACTCTGCTGGACTCATGTCTTCTGAATCCGGCTCTCTTCTATCCTTGCGCTTCCATTCAACTGGTTGGTTCCCACCTGGGTGCGCTACTATGCCCTACAGCTTGTCTTTCCAGATTCAATCGATGCTCCTTTCTGGTTTGGTTCAAAGATTGAAAAATGAGCCCCACTTATCTTGATGGTGACCCTCAGTTTCACGTTCGTTTTCAAATTTGTAGGATAGAATCCGTGAACCCTCCGTCTACAAGTCAGCCTGTAGGAGTCAGTCACAATCCCTCCCGGACATTGCTGATACAGGGTACGGCAGCCCAGCCTGGAGCGATGGTGAGGTCTTTGATTGATGAAGTGCTTTGGCGTACTGTAAAAGCAAACC